GGGGGGGCGTCGAGCGTTGCTATGGCGCTGTGCCCTGTGCTTCTGCCCGCGGTGCTGGCGCCTTTGCCCTGTGCCTCAGGGCGCGGTACCTCAGGCGAGGCACGGCACCGTGTCTCAGGGCGCGGTACCTCAGGCAAGGCTGGGCGCAGTGCCTCAGGGTATGGTACCCTAGCCGAGGCTGGGCGCAGTACCTGAGGAGAGACTCGGCACCTCAGGGCATGGTACTTCAGCCCGTTCCCGCTCTTGCGTTGGGCCCAGTACCTCAGCTGCTGTTGCCAGTGCCTCGGCCTGCACTGTCCCGGTACCCCAGAACTTGCGTCGCAGCCCCTGTGGCTGGGGGCTCATCCTGCCCTGCTGCCTCTTCCCGGTTTTTTTAAATGTAGCTGAGAGAGGGGGGTAGCTCTGGCAGGGGCTCTCCCCAGCTGCCTGGCGTAGGGGACTGCTGTCTGTGCAGGTTTCTTGACCTGTGCTTCCCCGTAAACTGTTTCTGTGAAGGAAGCTGGGATGTGGGTTTAGTACTCTGGTTTGCTGTGCTGTGGGGAGCTCCCATAAAGAAGCAATGTAGCATGTTCTGGCTGAGGGGCAAGCTTTAAGGTAAGACCCTATACAGTTACCCCAAAGAAAGTGGTGGTCTGGTAATCCATGCTCTGCCTTTATAAGCAGTAGTGGCATAGGTTTTCCCTAATTTTGGCTTTGCTGCGAATGTTCATGAGCACCTGTACATGCATTTATTCCCCTGCTAATTTTCCTTTCCCATGTTTATTTTGCAGACAATCCTAGGAGAAACTCATGAAGAGGAAGATGAGATCCTTCCACGCAAAGACTATGAGGTGGGACATTAACTGATAGCAGCTCTTGAAATTAATGTGAAAAGAACTGCAGACATGTTTTGATCTGTTTGACTTTGTAATGGGGCAGGTACTCAAAACGCATCGCTAGTTAAATTGCATTGGCACTAGCAGAAATACCAAGAGTTGTTGCACTTGCAAAGAACTGCTCTTCATTATTATACATTTCCGGGTTAAACCTTGTGAATAGATCGTGAACATCTGCTGTTTAAGTCAGACTCTCATTGAGAAAATTACTTTTTCAGTCTGCTGCTTTGTTTCACTTTTTTAATGTGAGATTTACAGGCTCTAGTGGTCTTGTTTCCTCATGACTGTAGAAAGCATCTGTACCTACTTCTTGCCTTACTGCTGTCGCTGATGTCGTGCTGGCTCACAACAGATCTTCACATCTATCGGATCCTGCTTCTTACAGGAGATTTGTGCTTTTTGGATGTCTGTATGGTGGCCCTGAGCTATTTAGAGCAGTTGCTGTCAGCATGAGTGTCACCAGCTCAGGCTGTTACTGCTTGGCTTGAAAAGGTGAAGCTGACGTAGATAGAAGTTAGTGGTACTTTGTGAGTAGGACTGGGCAACTCTATATTGCTTTTAACTCCCTGCTGTGGTAAGCTTAAGAATTGGTGCTGCTCATCTGGAGAGGAATTCCTGTCTAGTGTTCCTGTTATAGTGAGAGATTAAATATTTAGTGTTATCCCCTGCACTGACAAATTGGAAGCACTTAAAGAAGGAAAGTTTAAATATGTGCAATGTGACTTTTTAAATTTACAGTTGTATTATTCAGTTGTGTTCCTGTTTGGTTCCCTATTTCTCTCAGCTTGTGCAGTGAAATTGGTCTGTTCTTTCACTTCCTGGTTCTCGAGGTCTGACTCTGCTGGAAATGTTTAAATGAAGTTGTTTCCAGGAGTGTTTTTCCTCCGGTTGTTTGCAAAACCTACTGTGGGGGTAGTAATGACTTCTGTAATCTTTAACAAGGCCTGCTATCCATAGTTTTTTGCACAATCTGTTGCAGCTGGTTCTCTTAAATTGACCTTTTGGCATTCTTTCAGAGCTTGGATTATGATCGCTGTATCAATGACCCATACCTGGAAGTTTTGGAGAGCATGGACAACAAGGTGGGATCTTGTTCTTTTTTTTTCATTAGCTTGAGAGCTAAAACTGTGGAAAATTCCCATAGAAGTTTTGGCTGCCCCCTCCCTGGTAGTGTCCAAGGTCAGGTTGAATGGGGTTTTGAACAACCTGATCTAGTGAAAGATGTTGCTGCCTATGGCAGTGTGTGTGGACTAGGTGATCTTTAAAGGTCCGTTCCAACCCAAACCATTCTGTGATTCTAAATATGCTCCCCTGTGGGAAGTTTTGTGGGTTTTTTCCTTGTTTATGAAAGAAATTCTGTGTGCTCTCTTGGTTTCTCAATGAAAAGAATAAAAAGATGTGTGGAGATTATAGCTCCCAGTATCTGTTCTGATCCTCAGACTTAAAGTGAGTGAGATGTTCAGCACTTTCAGTTCCCTATTTTCAATTTGCTGTTGTCACCATCTTCTGCTGATTCATCACTCTAGCTGTAATTGAGTTGTGGAGCCCAAACCCACCTTTTTGTGATCCCTGTTTCTATTTTGCTTTGACTTTGCTTTTTTGTTTCCCCCTCCTCTTTCTAAGCAGAAAGCCCAGAGGTATGAAGCAGTGAAGTGGGTGATGGTTTTTGCTATTGGAGTCTGCACAGGACTGGTAAGGGTTATGCTGTTTGGGGAATGAGAAAAATTCGGGAGACGAAGCAGGAATAATTTAGAAATCAATGGCCAAGGAGTAAAAAGGAAGAAACATTCTCTTTCATGAATTGGAGAGCTTAGTAGCTGGAGTTGTCTTTTGGGAATTATAGCACATTGTTTGCTGAATTATTTTCCAGGAAGCTTTTTTTCTTTCAGATCTTGCTGTGCTTTCTTTGCAAAGTATTCTGAAAAATCCTTTAATTCTGCATACAGGAAGACTTTTCCAAAGTGAGCACTTAAAAAAAAAAAAAAAAAAAAAAAAAGGTACTGTTCATCTGGAAATTGGCATCCTTTTATATTAATGTTTGGCACTACTAGCTTCACTGCATGTGCTTTCTAGACTGTTTGAAAATTAGCGTTGCTGACTGTATGTCTCAGTTAAACACCAGTTTTCTGCTGTACCCTGAAATATGTTGTGGGTGTTCCGAAGTGCATCTCTTCAGGAATAATTCTAAGACGAATCTGTCCCAATGAGAACAAGGGAGACTGCAATTCTGAGCTTCTGAAGTTACTTTACTCTGAACAGTGCTTCTTTTGCCTTCTTCATCCTCTGTCCTCCCATGTGTGCGTATTTCTGGTAGGACTTACTAGAGAGTGGTCTTTGTTACTTATATGTAGTAATTTCTGATGGTAGATCTGTCTTTTTTCTCATAGGTAGGCCTCTTTGTGGATTTCTTTGTACGGCTATTTACCCAGCTCAAGTTCCAGGTGGTGCAAAGCTGTATCTTTTACCTAGTGTATGGATTCCTGTTGAACTCAAGTGACCTTTTCCTCTCTGTTGCCATGTTTTGCTCAGAACAGCTGAGTCTCAGACTTCTGCCATTGGTCATGTTATTGATGATTAATCAAGTTTTTGACTTGCCTATGTAATTCAGCCCTCGAAACCAAGAAATAGTTCCAGTATCACGTACATAGGCAAAGGCTAATCCCTGAAAGAACAAGTGGTTTCCGTTCTTTGTAGCTTAGTCTTGAGCTCTGAAAAGGAAACCTGGCTTCCTGATGTGTTGTGTCACCTGCCCTGGCTGGATTAGGAAGTGCAAGCTTGGCTCCTGATACCAGTGGGACCCCCAGACAGTACCAAATGATTGTGTGTTGGTGGGGGAAATGTTGTTGTTTTCCTTGACCATCCTTGCAGCAGTGGAAGAGTGCACTGAAAAAGGCTGTCTTGCCTTGTCCTTGCTGGAGCTGCTGGGGTTCAACCTGACCTTCGTTTTTCTTGCCAGTCTTCTGGTCCTGATCCAAGTAAGACTTAGGTCCACTGTTGCTCCATACACAGTCTCTCTTTGCTCAGGTCCTGGGTATGAAGTTTCCTTGTTGCCAGAAGCACTTTCTGCCCCAAGACCTCAAGCTAGCTTCACAGTGCTAATTGATGTAGCTGAGCAGGGTGTCTTGATCCCTTGCTGTGCTTTCTGATAAGATACTGGTGGTCAGCTATGAAATTGATGCAGCACAACACCAGTGTTTCTTTTCTGCAGCCTGTAGCAGCTGGATCAGGAATTCCTGAAATTAAGTGCTACCTCAATGGGGTAAAGGTTCCAGGAGTTGTGCGTCTCCGGACGGTGGTGTGCAAAGCTATGGGAGTGCTCTTCAGTGTGGCAGGAGGTAAGAAGGGCTGTGGTGTCTTGGTCTTCTTGGGGTAAGGAGTCACTGAAGGGGGAAAAATGCTGTCCCTGCTGTACATGAGGCACAAAAGGGTTCTCCTGCCTTTCTGGTAAAATGATTTTGATGAGCTGGGAATGAGTGCAGAGTGATGAGCCCTGAATGCATATATAGAGTAGCAAATAGACAGAAGGATCAGGGCTATTGGGGGAACAGGTACTTTTCTGGGTGGTCTAGTCAGAAGTGGCTCTTTGTGGCCCAGTCTGAGAGGAAGACACGAGATTTCTCCAGAAGATGTCTAGAGCAGCCTGAAGGAGGCTACGTTCTAGGCAGCTGGGCAGAGTACCTTGGAGAGTTCGGACTCCTTGTAACAGCTGTCTTTGAATGGTTCCACCCACTTGGAGTGCCAAGTCTGTGGAAGTCTTCACAAACATTTGGGGTGTTGAGGGGACAGGGTCAGCACCTTCCTTCACCCTGAGGGGAGAGAGAGGAGCTGCAGGCTTGGCAGAGGAAACTGTGCCATGGCACAGGAGTGGTGAGCTGATCTCTCCTGGCATTGTCAGCAAGAGAGAGGGGTGGGGTGAGTGTGTTGCCTCATCAGTCCTGTTTTTCCAGGTCTTTTTGTCGGGAAGGAGGGTCCAATGATACACAGTGGTGCTGTCGTGGGTGCGGGTTTGCCACAGGTTAGTGCTGGCCTGAGTCGCTGACCTGGTCACACCACTGCTTTGTAAGAGTACTGAGAGGAGTAAGTTTCCGTCTCCTACGTTTCTAAATCTTTACTTTGTTTGTAGTTCCAGAGCATCTCTTTGAGGAAGATCCAATTTAACTTTCCCTATTTCCGCAGTGACAGGTACTGTACCCAGGATGTGGAGGAGGGGAGGGGAGGATAAGTGAGCAGAATTCCTTTGGAGAAGGGTGGTGGCCTGGGATGAATCAATCAGTTGGTTTTTCAGTTTCTCTCTAGTATCCTGCAGTTTCATTCTGCAGCAAGACAACACCAAGACTTGACTGTTCCATGCTGCTCTGTTCTCCATGTTCTTTGATGTTGTCTTGTATTACTCAGCAAATCTCTACCCATTTAAAACCTTTAATCTGAATGGTTAAATGACTTCATTGTTGGGAACGAGCTCAGTTACTCACCCCTTATGACCAAGATATACTCCAGAGAAGGCTGGTTCACTTGAATGTGAACAAAATCTTGCCCTACCTTCTCTGTAGTTCTTTCAGGTGATGCTGGAGCCTCATGGGCTTGGATGGTTCCTCACGTAGTGGGCAGTTGTCTAGTGCCAGAGTTTTGCTCTGTATTGGTGCTATAGAGAAAAAGCATGATGCTGCAGCAACTTACTGAATACGTGGTGTTGCCTGCCATGGCCAGCACTGCTGCCAGCTGTCACTCCTGTATCCCTGGGATATATCCATAACCAGGAGTGGTCTCTTACTTTGCAGAACCTAAGCACCTCCAGAGCTCTATTTTGTTAAACGGAGATTTTTTTTCCTCTTCATTTCAGGGATAAAAGGGATTTTGTATCTGCTGGAGCTGCTGCAGGGGTTGCGGCTGCCTTTGGAGCCCCAATTGGGGGCACTCTTTTCAGCTTGGAAGAAGGTTCCTCCTTCTGGAACCAGGGACTTACATGGAAAGTGGTGAGTAATGACTCTGGTTCTTTCTGTGTGTCTCTTCCTTGAGCTGGACCTTTGGGAGGGCTTGTCCGTGAGGGCATTCAGATTATCCTGTGTTTCCTGCT